GTCCGACATTAAACAGAGCCCGACAGAGGAGGGAGGGGCGGGGAGGCTSTTGCCGTGCAGCGCTTCAAGAGCTGACCTGTGTCTGACCTCAAAGTGCACAAGCGTCCAACTTGAAGCATTGGCTGCGATTTTGAAGCTGAAATCGCGTTCGGTGTGAACGCAGCATTAATGTCTATTTGTTTCACTGTTTCCATGTTGTCGGGATGAGCTCACTTCTGTAGGTCTCATTTTGTTTCTGACTTTACTTTAAAGAGGACCTATTATGCAAAATTCACTTTTTACATGTTTTTAAACTTTAATTTGGGTTTGTGCTGCTTTTAGAAACAGTCCAAGTACCAAAAAAAATCCCAGATGTTTTTCTTGGCAATATGTAAATGTTACGTGACAATCCGGGTAACCTAGCAATGCCTAAGACGAGCCCAGCCCCTCACTTGATAACCCAAGCGGAGTCTCCACCCACTTCATTACAGGAAGTAATTGTTCTGCTGTTTTTAACAACAGTCACGGAGAACAGAGATGTGTGGCGTTATTTTGTTTTTATTTTTGATGCGCTGGAGGAGGCTGCAGATATTGACCGCCCCTCCGTTCGTCTCCCCCTCCACTTCGGGAAGCGGCGCCGGACACACGTTGGCCTCCCCGGCACCAAGGCTGACTTCAGTTGGACGCTCCAGTCCGTCCCTACCAAGCCTGTGCCTGGGGTGGCCACACTGCGCGCAGCCCGTATTGTTGTACCATTGTGCATCTGCTTGTACTAGTAGCCACTTTCACGTTAACATAAACGCTGTTTGGAAGGCGGAGCTAAAGTAAATAGGTTTAATCTTAAAAACTTTTCTTTGTTACTAGACACTATGTTATTTTATGTCTCTTTAGACCAGTGATGGATGCTGGTCTTTCAAGGAGTGGAAGCTCAATTTCGGCCTACATCATAAAATGTGCCGGTTTATTTATACGTAAATTCTACCCTCCATTCCTTTTCAATGATGAGAGGTGGAGGGGCTCAGCAGCACCCGCTGGACAGAAACTGGTAGAAGTCAGAAAGAGTGACAGAAGTCTGTCTCCAAACACAAGCAGCTACAAAAGAAAACCACCAGAAATAAAAACTTGATTTCTCACTAGTCGTTTTTAACAAAGAAAATGCAGCTAAAAGGATTAATAAAGTCTCCGGTTCAACTCAGAACAGAAGCAAAAGTAAAAATCTGCTCCCACGGAATGTTTACACCAAAAGATCTCTGATTCCCTCATTTTGCTGTCAATCAAAAAGGGATTCAGCCTCAAACAGATCATCCAATCATCATGCAGAAGCTGAGCGTCTGGGCCAGCCGAGGCCAGCCCACTGCCCCATAGACCACCAGAGACGCTGAGCGTCCGATGGGCGGGACAAAGCCCAGCATTTATCCAATGACTCTGTTTCGCTGCACTCTTTGCTTTGCTATTGAACTCTGTGGACACAGTAAAAAGCACTGTGAAGCTGCCAGAATGAGTGAGAGGAAAGCAGCGTTGTTACCAGTGATAAGAAGCTGATTCTGAATAAAAGTTGAGAGTGTTTTAGTGCATATTTGTTTAGTCAGTGACATGTACTCACAACAGTATACATTAGATCACTTTTTATATATATTTTAGGACAAGCTGAGCTTCCCTTGCAGTCTTAGAAAAATCGCCTCTGCTTTACCTGACATGTTTCGATGTATTGTTTTTTTCTTCATCAGAGGTCATCATACATCAGCTGTGACACCTAGGGCTGCCATGATTAGTCGATTAGTTGACGACTAATCGATTATTAAAATAATCAATGATTAATTTAATAATCGATTAATCGTTTTCTGTTTGTTTTTGTTCTTTACTTTGTTTTTCTCTCCAAACTGCTTTGACACCTTCCACTGCCACATCTGCCTTTCTGTCCTTGACACACATGCACAGTAGTGGTAACTGGGGTAGGTCGTGGATGTCACAAGACATTATACAGACAGGCTCTGGTATCATGGCTACCCAGCAACGGAGCTCAAAGTGTGGGATCATTTTAAGAAAAATGAAAGAGAAACCTGTGTAATATCTGCAGAGCAGAACTTGCCTTCCACAGCAATTATTTTTAGTTAGCATATAGCTAAAATCTAACCATGGTTATATAATAGCAGCTGCATTCTGGCGCGATAAGCTGTATGTTTTATATTCAATTAACGTATGATCTGATTAGTCGACTAATCGAAAAAATAATTGGTGATTAATCGATTATAAAAATAATCGTTTGTGGCAGCCCTAGTGACACCTCTGATGAAGATGGAAGCAATACATTTAAACATGTCAGGTATGTCTGAAGAGACACAAAACAGAGCCAAGACACAAGGGACACAATGAACTTCATTGGATTAAACAAACTGTTAGAAAGGTGTTGCCTTCAGCAGCTTGTTTGCATAAACAGGTCATTCTGAAAGGAGCTCAGAACAGGCAGAACTGACCAGGTGAAATCTCATTATCTGAAAACGATTTTATGTATTAAACCTAATGAACATGTTTCATATAGCTCACAGATGTATCCTATATTGTTCAAGGATTTATAATTGATCCCCTTTAATCTCTAAATCTTACCACGGCTTTCTGTTCTGTTGCTTCTCTTTCTGTTTCTGTTTGATTAAAAAGATTTCTGTTTTGGGGTCTTTGTTTGACATAAATTATCTTTCAGATTGACCAAAATGCCCGAGAGGACTTCAACTTGACATCTGATGTGGAATTCAACAGCATCAAGTCCATTATTCTCGGCAGAGTGCCAGGTAGGTGAGAGACCCTTTGAACAGGTTTCAACAATGTGTGACAAAAACGCTGTTCTCTGGCTTCTCTCTTCATTATGGCGGATGGATCAGATGGAAACCTGCCACCTGGGCAACAGATGTGACGCTTGTTAAAACCATCTGACATTAATAAACAAATAATTCTCGTGATTTTGATTCTTTTAATAAATTTTAACCTAAAATAGGAGTTATTTAAGTTGTTGTTCTGTTGTTTAAGATGCACTTTAAAGCCCCAAAAAAGAAAACTTTAGTGTATATAACTAATGCATAAGTTCAGATAATACAGTTTGTGTATTCTGCAGCTTGTCGAAGCAGTAAGTGATTCAGTCTTTATCTGTCTGAGCGGAGCCTCAGACAGCTGTAATGATAATAAATTCAGAAAAAGGCCCTATACTTTCTATGCTAATAAGGAGAAACTGAAAAGGAGAAATTACTGAGAAGATTGGAGTCAACACCATGCAGTTCAGCATTACAACTAATAAATCCCAGCTGCTGTGGTTGGAGGTCAGAGTAAACCAGGGAGTCAAAAGGTGCAGTTGATTTTCTTCTGGCATGGGAGGAAGCGCTTTCGTTGCTTCTCAAGTCTGTTTGATGAGTTTGCTGTCATTAGTCTGGAGGAGAAAAGACTTTGAAACAGTTTTGATGAGTTTTCACTGCTGTAACTAATATTTCTCTTTAGTTTAGTTTAGTTTAGTCATTCATTTCATTTAAAAAACAAAGCAAATTCAGTATACAAAAAATACAAATGAAAAATAAAATGAAAGGCAGCAGAAGGAAGAAAAAATCTTATAATATCTGCGCCTTCTTACATCAAAAGAAATTCAAACAATAATAAAAACAGAAAAAAATAAAGAAAAAAATAAAATCTTTCTCAGACATTTTTTGAGGATACATATTATGTCATTTCATATTTCTTCAACAGTCTGGATTTCACCATTCTCCTAAACTTGTACATTGATCCTGCACTTTTAATACCATACTCCAGCTTATTCCACAATTTTATTCCTTGCACTGAAGTACATCGTTCCTTCAAACTATAGGATTTTAGGTTTCACAAACACCTCTGTCCATTTTAAATTGTAGTAACTTTGTCTCTTAACAAAATTCGATTGGATGTTCAAAGGTAATATATTTTTATGAGCCTTATACATAATCTGCAAAGTGTTGTAATCAACCAACTCATAGGATTTCAATAATTTCAACTGACAAAATAATGTATTTGATGAGTAATCATAATGTTTTTTGTGATACTTCTTATAGCTCTTTTCTGCAAAATAAAAACAGGATTTGTAATTGTTTTACACGCTTTCCCCCAGACTTCAACACAGTAAACCAAGTGTGGAACAATCATTACACTGTACAACATATACAAATATTTATCATTAAAGAGCTCCCTTTCTTTAAATAGTAATGCAATAGATTTAGCTACTTTTGTTCTTAAATAATTCACATGAGGTCTCCATGTCATCTTTTCATCAATGATGACTCCCTTCACTGACTCTACAGATATCATCATTGTTGACTCGAAATGGAATTTCAACACTTTTCTTTTTATTACTAAATATCATGTCATTCGTTTTATCCAGATTTAATTATAATTTATTTAGTTGAAACCAATTTTCTATCTTCATAAATTCTGTCTTTAAATAAAGCAAATGGAGAAAAAAAATACAAAGCTTGGTAGCAATATATAACAGCATGGTACCAAGTGTTTACAAGGTATGCACAAAGTACAGCCTGTAAATACAGTCACAAGAATCAGTATCAGTTTTATTGCCATAGTCAATGAACAGGATTCACAGACTAGGAATTAACAAATAAAGAAAATACAAAGGATAAAGGAAAAATAGAATAAAAATATATAAAACATATGTACACCAGTTCAATACAGTAATCAAAGAAGACAATATAGTTGGAGTAGTGCAGTTAGATCCAATAAAAGTGACCAGAAAAACAATATAATCAGAGTTGTGCTGTTTAAAAACCAGTGACAAAGTGACCAAGGCGGAGTTACGTGATTCTAAAGGTTCAAGAGTCCAACAGCAGAGGGGAAGAAACTGTTCTTGGCGAGATGTTCTGGTCCGAATGGACCGACACCTTCTGCCTGAGGGGAGTGGTATGAACAGGCTGCAGGGTGAGAAGGGTCAGCTGTGATCCGACCTGCTCACCTCACAGTCCTGGAGACGAACAGGTCATGGAGAGATGGGAGGCTGCAGCCGATCACCTTCTCAGCTCCGTCTGCAGAACGTGCTGCAGTCTGTGTCTGCCCCTGGCAGTGACCCCCGGCATACCACACCGTGATGGAGACACTTCATGATACAGTCAGGTGCCTAAATGTACCTGGATGGTGCCGGGCCGCGTTATGTGTTACTACCAAGCTTTTTTTATTTTTAAATTTCTGCATTATTTATTATTATTTAATCTTTATTTAACCAGGTAGCCTGGTTAAAACCAGACCCCTGTCCTTCACTTGGCTTCGTACGAGGGTCTGGACTCACTTCTATAGAGAATCGTTTCTTGCAGGAGGCGTGGCCTCTGCTGAAGCATGCGTGTGTTGTCGGTGTGAAGGAGGCTAATCTAAGAAGCTAACCGTAAGTCTCGTGCTGTAAACAACCCTACTGAGAGGAGAAAAGTACCGAGCCGAACGAGACGACTGTAAATGAGAGCTGCTGCTTTGTCAGACAAATTTAATTTAATTTGAAGCCTTATCAACACAGACTGGCTTCATTCACTTCCCCCACTGCTGTATGCTAAAATAACTAGCAGACACTGTGCAGAATATCGACATCATTAAAAAACTCCTCCTTCTGTTTGCTGATTGGCCCAGGCAAAATAAACTACAAGCAGACACTGCGCAGAAAATCGATGTTCTKTTCTCTGATTGGCCCGGCTAAAAATCTGCCAGCGAAATCCTTGTCTATGGGAGAAATCCCAGATGGAGCATTGAAGGGAAACTAGAATTGAGCAGAGCTGCGTAGGAAGGCAAGGGCCAGGCTACAGTATTAACCAGGCAAATCCCACTCGTGTTCATTAACTGGTATAAATTCCCACACTTTTTATCTTCTGGTAGTTTGCTTAAGCCAATCAAATCTACATCAGAACACATAGAAAGACAAAATGAAGAAAAACTCTATTTAAAAAAAATTACAATCCCAGCTAGCGGCAAGCTTCACGCATATCAATTTTCAGTCACACACACACACACACAAAAATCAGCCACACACAAAAATCTGGACTCAAGCCAATGTATGATTATATGTGGATAACTACTAAAAGCTGTTTCTACTGTTACTTTCTTCTTCTTTTTTTATTGCTGAGTCAGGTTTTGTCAGGATGTCAGCCAGTGTCTGCCCCTGCTGAGCCAGAGGACTCAGTCATATCAGCATCATAAAGGCAGTGTAATCGCTGATGAACTGTCATCTTCCTGCATGCCCCATCATCCATCAGCTCAACAAATGAACCAGGACAAATGTGCAGCCTCAGATTCTCAGACAGAGTGACAGTGATGGAGGTGGTCTTAATAGTGGAAAACATGTTTCAGGTTATGTATGCAAAGGCCACGAGTACATGAAAAACACAATTTTATTTTAATTACTCATTTTAGACTATTGTTTGCTTGTATTGTTTTTGTTTAGGACTATATTTTTGCATTTTTGCTCCACCGGGAGGAGGCCCCGAGGAAGACCCAGGACACGCTGGAGGGACTATGTCTCTCGGCTGGCCTGGGAACGCCTTGGGGTTCCCCCGGAGG